TATTCATTAGGTAAAGTAATATATTCATTGTCCAACAGTACTTAGTGCTGGAGCAAAGTTTTTTATGCAATTTCTTTGTAAAACCGAGTTCACTTAATCAGCTGAAATCAGTTCAGTAGGTCATACAGGAACATCGGGAGTCCTCTCAGGTCGAGCGATGCGCAAACGGGATGCGCACAGAACAACCCTTTGTCTTTGTTAGCAACTCTTATCTCTCGTATTCATATAACTTTTACAATAAGTTTCTTGGATAGCGTTGTAACTAACAAATGACACACCACAACTTAATCCTGCGGTAACTGCTGTGTACCGGCAGACATATGTGTGAGGGTGGTAGCCTGCAGACGCTTGTAACACAGCCGTGACGTCACTCGCGCGCGGCCGCCTCTGAGGACGCGATTGTACCACCTCTATTACAGCTACTACGCTGGACCTCGCGCCCTCCACTCCATACCACAACACAACAATGTGGGACACTGCTGTCTACCCATAGAAATACGTGTGAGAGTGGTAGTCTACAGACGCTTGTAACACAGCTGTGATGTCACTCGCGCGCGGCCGCCCCTGACGACGCAATTGTGCCGCCTCTATGTCCAGCCACTGCACTGGACCTCGCGCCCTCCACTCCTCATCACTACACAATGTGGGACACTGCTGGCTGTGTACCGGCAGACATACGTGTGAGGGTAGCCTACAGACAAACTCTTATTGGCAGACATATTATTTGCAATAATTATCAATCCCTACATATTGTAATGTAAACAACTCTTTGTTTGTCTACTTAAACACAATAAACGAGCAAATTTTAATCTGGTTTTCCTATTTCCTATTTCATGAAGTAATGTACTAAGAATATCATCGTAATCAACATCTTCAGCTGTACGACGCCCATTGCTGCGGCCTCTCCCATAGATCTCCTAGACAATCGGTCCTGCTCTGCCCGCATCCAGCGGCTTCCCACAACCTTTGTCAGATCGTCTATCCACCTGGTAGGGGGCTACCCATTGAATCAAAGAATATTAAGTATATAATTGAATATGGTTCTGTAATAAATTTGCTTAAATATAATGATGATCTTAATGAAGACGGAAAATGATGTCTTAAGTAAGCTTAAATATGTGACTTGTATCAGCTGGATAATAAAAATATAACTCCAGAAAGTAACATACAAAACCAAAAGGATCAAGAATAATTGTATATAGGTAGATAAAAGTGTTATTCAGTGTACACGTAGAGAGATGTGACGTCACAGCTCGGTGCGCCGCTGACCTAGATGGCAGCGTTCAATGACCCGCATCCCGGGAACGTGTGAACTTGGGAGGAATAAGGAAAATCGGACATATTTGAAGCTCGAAAACAAAAACACATCATTATGCTAATCTCTTAACTATTTTATATATAGTTTGCATTATAAATTTAATTACAGAAAATACTGTAAAAGTATTACTCGCTTCCTATGGGATAAAACCCGAGTTGATGTAATTGTTAGCAATAGACGAAAGAAAGATTTTATAAAATATATTTGTATTGTACAACTAAACCAAACTCTGATACAATAGCCCAAATGTTCTATCATACTAAATCTCTAATTGAAGGTTACTCACACAAACTAATAAAAGAGCTTTCAGAACAGAACAGATCACTCGTCCGTGCATTTATTTGAGCCTTAATTGGGCACTGTAAAATAAACAGACACTGATTTCATATCGATGTTTGATTAGCTGAATACATTTCGGATTCGAAAAATTCTGCTGTTGAAATAAACAAAATGATAGATAAACAGAACTTTTTCAACATTTCACTTGAAATCGAGTCTTAATTCGAGGCAAATTCGGAGGCCTCAATTAAACTGCTGCGAATATTTTCATTTCATCTAGCTGAGGATTAATAAGGACTAGAAAAGCTACTCCACCACGTAAACTATATTTTACGACACAATATCATGCATTCGATCTTTATTAAATAGCTTCTCGGAAAATTTATTTTTCGGGTCAACAGAATGAGTGATTTCCACAAAGGTAGTTTGGTGGCATATTATATCTGTTAAGTGATCTAACTGCGTCATATTTCTAGGGGTGATGTCACAGCCAAAACGTGTATTTATAAAACAACGAAATTACTCCTGAATATTGATAAATAGCTATGCGCTTCACTTTGTAGCCGAAAGAATTAAACAATACTTCAACTGTATCGTATTAATTGATAACTGCTATTACGTAATCTATTTGAACAGTTTTATGTACAACTTGTGAACGAAAATGGTCGCAGATTTTGGCCACACCATTAGGTGATACTTTAAGATCTGTCTAATGTACGTGTTTGTCAATTTAAAAAAACTTTAAAAAAAATTGTATTTATGCATGTTCCACGCTATCTTTATCCATAGAGGACAAATTCTAATGGATTCTTTATACTTTATCTGTGAATCATCAGATGGATTGGATCTTTTTATATCGGGGATTTTTTGAACTTTTCAATTGGCAATTCACCTTTACGGTTTATATTGGAATGTTTATTGAAATCCTGGCTTATAAGGAAAATTATGTCAACATAACGTATATTATTATTTATTACGTATGATTCATCATAGAGTCATATATGGCGATATGTCAGAAATTATAGCACACCTCCTGCTTAGTATATAATACGTTTTTCAACATATGTATGTATCTGTGCGTTTTGTTAATGGAATTATTATTCTATCCACGAGATAATTTATAATGACCGCGTGATTTATAAACCGGTGTCCGTGTGGAGGAAATTATTTCTTACAATGTAATATCCTTAAAGTAATAAGACAATGTAGTACATTACAATTAACTTAGCCCTCAAGTTATATATGTAGTGAACTAGGATCCAGGTTGGTACTTTTATGGAAGTTATGGTAAGTATATTATGTCATGGAAGTTAAGCAACTTTCTCAAAGTCCATTCTTGGATGGGTGACCGAATGTTTTTTACTATCATGGTATTCTGGCACTCTAATAGTGATCCAACAGAGAATAATAGTTTATATCATGCGGTTTTCATTGAAAGATATATACTTAAGTAAAAAAGATAATAAAACGAACTAGAGCGAGACCAATCAATGTGACAGATATAAAATAATACACAAGACAACGTCACATATATTGCTCAGATGCTATATTAAGTAGCTACACTTGTATTATGAAAATCTGAAACAAGTAAGTTAACGCAACATCCAGACCACCAGACCACAGAATACTGATAAGTCATGCCCAGACAATATACTAAGAAATCGGGACCTTAGCGATGGTGACATATTGACAGTAGCGTGTTAGCTATTATGTTTATAATTTCAAGTAACTGGATTAAACTGACATATGTATAATGTAGTAGGTATATGAAAATAAGAGATTTTTTAATTCAAATTCTATATCATCTAGGCTGATATAAGCACTTGTGAATATATAAAACTACAACATCGGTTCGTAATGGCGTAGTTTTCACGAATCTATGGCGGAAGACCTTGTATAAGTCCCGTTAATTGCTAATGCACTGGAACCTTGTCTAAATAACACCCGCGTGACGTCATGCGGTAGTAGTATATTGATAAATTATTGAATTTTTTGTGAACAATCCCCAAAATATTGTCAAAATAATTGACTAACTTTTAGTTTGTTAATTTATTGCATGAATTTTAGGAAAATAATAAATTAATATGTAAATATTGAGGAATATGGAAAATATTAAAAAAAAAATGGAAAAAAATATATAACTTTCTTTGTAATAAAATAACGCAAAAACGAACGAAAAGGACATTTTTAAAAACATAACCAAAAGTAATAATCAAATGAGACTCATTAGGTATATTTATTATTAGTGAATTTATGTTTACTTATTGTGAAAATCATAATCACAGTTGCTATATTAGTCAACCATTATAATTTACAACAAAACTTAACAATAACAGTCGAACCCAACAAAAACATAACAAAAATTATGTGTGATCTCAACACAACCCAACTCAATAAGTGTATACGTGAATCAGTGTTTTATTTGTTAACGGTACTGATTTTTGAACGCAATTACGTCATCAAAATGGCGGTCAGGCGCATTAGCAATTTGTGGGAATTATACTGTTAGAAGAATCGACAAGAAACTCGGCAAAGGCTGCTTTTTTCTTCTTGTTTTACTTCATACAGAGAAGACTTATTAGAAAGTGACTTAGACCAGTGATTCCCTAAGTGGTCCAAGTGTTAAATCCCTCGTGGACCCCTGGGGGATTTAACGGGGGTCTACGTTGGCGTGAAATAAAAATAGGGGTTCAATTTCCATCGTAAGATCTTCACATTTTGAAACCAGTAATTTTTTTAAAATGGCCTACAATAAATAATTGTTTGGGAACCTCTGACTTAGGCACTTCATAATTTTGAAATTAATTTTACGTGTTCATGTTTAGAATAGCCTTAAGTGCGGGTTAGTTTTCCTATTTTTATAGATATTATTAAAGTTAATTTGCAGTTTTGATATTTATTTTATTCAGAAATAAACTTAAAATTTGTGATTTTTTTAAAATGTTTATGAAACTAATTTATATATTTGTATTGTTTCAGATTGATGGCGTCAAACATAGTAAAAAAGCATCGCATAAAAACTGACCGCGAAACACTCATTCTTCCTCCGTACTAAATTAACGAAAAAAAAAATGAACTCCGTCAAACGCCGTCCACAAAATCAAACAGTTAAAGTCAACAATAAAACAATTAATAATATCAGAAGAATACTCAAGAATAAAAAGAAAAACATCGAGCTTACCAACTAACCGAACATGTGTTCCAAATTCGAAATTTAAATCGAGGACTATTCTAAACGCACGACGAGGTTTCGAATACTCTATTCGTTTTCCTATTTTTCATTTAAAAATAACTGAAGCTTTAATCAAAAAGTTTTTCGAGGAAAACCTCCTTTTAAAATTGTAGTCTAATTAATGAAAAAAAAAAATAGTTGCCTTCTATTCGTAGATGTAGTGTATACCGTGATTGGTCCAATTTCTTGTAAAGTATTAAGAATTATTCTTCCCTTTCATTTTAATTGATGTTAAGAAATCATTCGAACTATTTAGGAGAACCTTTTGAAGTTCTTAGAGGACAAGGTTAGTGTGCTCGTTATTTTTTACATTCACATTTCTTTTAAAAAAATATCCATTATAATATAAAAGGTGATCGCACATTAATTGGTCTACTTTATAACTCAAGAAATATATTTTTTAAAACTCTAGTCTTAGTTGCTCCAGATGGGATTCGCACCTTTTGCGACGGAGGATATAGATAAAAATATTTTTCTATAAGATCAATAATAATATCAATAAAGCCTTGTAAATGCAAAATTCATCGAAAATAATAGTTCAATATAATTTTAGAGTGCGTACAAACGCAATGGAGAGGGTTGAAGCTGATAAAACTTCTTCTGAAGACGGGAGTCAACTCAACAGGAATAGAGTAAGATACACATTGTTCAGTTTCACTTCTTTTAAAATCGAAATGGAATAAATCACAAAAAATTTAATAAAGACGCTCTTATTAAATTTTGTACACACATACAGTAGAACCCAAAAATTTAGCATAATGAATAAGTTATGTCAACCAAAACCATAGCTTCTGGTTACCAAGACAGTGGCTCAAAAAGATGTCGAAAGGAAAATAAAATCTGTCATTATTTGTCTGTCTCAGCTTATTTACTCTAAAACTACTGGATCGATTGAGTTAAAATTTCCAAGCCGATGACCCCTAGATAAAAGCGTAACTTAATAATTATAAACATACAAAACCTTTGCAAACTTTTATCTCAAATAAATTTTATTTTAAAATAAGTAGTTTAAAAGTTATGAGAATAAATATTTTTTTGAAAAAAGGATAAGCTACTTTTTATCGCGGTTCCTTTACTACCTTCTTAAATTCCTCCAGCGCCTCCTATGGGGTGTAATCACTCATTTTGAGAAATAATGTTATATATATAGATGAAAACAAATCCACAGACAACGACAATAATTTTGAATTTGTATTTTAATGCGATGCAATTTCTATAACGTATGTTATGGGAACATTTTCATTTTCCCAATTATGTCAAATAACAAATCACGCTTATCTTTACGACACCTATCTAATACATGTTATCAGTTAATATCAAAAACCCTCGAAAGCTTTACGTCATTATAATATACCATTTGATTATGGCGCAGTGGTTAACGCTTTGGCTCTACGATTGCGGTTGTTAAACAACTTTTGCGAAGGCGGGTCGCTAGATACCCATCTAGTATGACTAAGTTCGATTATATTTTTGTATAAAATCTGTTTTTTAAATGATATAAACTCATGTGCACAGCCTTTTAGAAATATTTATTTAAATTTATTCTTATATACATACTTACGTATTTGTTTAATTTTTAATGAAGAACAAGAAAAGCATATAAATACTTATCTATGTGCACATCGAAACTTACATCCACTAAAAACTTATTAAATAAAGGAAAAATATAAATTTATTCATTAATTTAATATGTTCTGCTAAAATTGTAACGTGCGTGAAATTTAGAGCCGTGATGTCACATTTCAGTAAACATGAGTACTCCTTGCACACGCAACAAGTAGGGCACTACTGTCACTAACATTGACAGTATGAAAATTCAATAGCCCTTCAACTAGAATCCTTTATGACATAGTTTTTGTTTACCTGCTGCCATCATTAGAGACTATAAGCTGATGATGATTATAATTTTCGCAGAGCTTCAAGTCCAAACAACTCGTACGCAGCCAGGCGATACGTGAATCCCAATCCCCGCCTCGCACCATCTCCCCCTCTCCGATCACGCCCGCACTCGAGGAGCAAGTTACCAAGAATAATGTTGCGAATAATGCACCAATTGAGAGGAGCGACTGCCACAGCGATGAGTGCGAGGAGAAGAAACAGCAGGTTGAAATACAGGTAACGGTTTGAAACCTTGATATTCTTTATAGATATGATTTTCATCTTACATTCAAATGGAAAAGGTTGTATGTGGACGACAGTGTTAAGAGAGATAGACCGAAAAACGGTGGATGGAATGAAAGTTTAAATGGGTAAAAAAGGAATTATGGTTGATCGATAAATATGGATGAAAAATACTGTTATAATAAAGAATTCTAATATGATTTGATATTACTATTGTTTTTTTAAATATTGCAACACCAACCTTAGTCTCATTGTGATCTTCAGTCTTCACTATAGTAAAAACTGACAACGCTATTGGATAGTACAAAGACGTATTCCGTAGTGGCGGGAGTGTTTAAAAGACATCTCGATAATTGAACGATATTATATATTAGTATTAGATGTTATTAAAAATATATTTTATTAAATTTATTTTTATTTAATTCACAATTTATAGCACTATAAACAAGGCAGCCAACGGTAACGCTTTAGTGAGCGCGATCACTCAATCACGAACTTTCAATCGATAACATGTCAGAGTCTTGTCGATTTGTACAAAGAAATACGTTTAAAAAAGTTGTGATTAAAAATGAGAGAACAACATCATATTTTAAATAAGATGTGAATTTATAACCCGATACAAAAAAGACAAAATTCCCCAAAAATAACCATTGTTGCATTTCTTGAAGCACTGGTTTACCTGCTACACATTCCAATTTAAAGCTATGATAATATGCACTGTGACACAAACATACATAAAAATGAGAGTATCGCCACCACGCTCATATAAAATGTTAAGTTAATTTTGACGAAAAAGTTGCAAAGTTTTTCATTTTTCATTGTTTGATAAAAAAAAATTTGCATTTGATTAAAATATTAAGTAAGCCAATCAAAGGTTGAATTGGCTTACCATTCGCCGACGCAGAGACCTACACATATTATCCCTTCTCTTTTCTGTGCTGTTCAATCCATTGTCACCCAGATATCTCAAGGAGCATTTTAAGTTTCTTTCCTCTACTCACAATCTTCCCCTTCGTTCATCTGACAATCTCCGCCTTTACATACCGCCTAACTTTTCTCAATTTTACAGCCAATCTTTTACCCTGCGAGCTATCCATTTATGGAATTCCTTACCTGAGAATGTTAGACGCGCCCAAACGCTGGAGTCTTTCAAATCTCTAGCTGCGAAGTTCTTTTTGTCAGATGAACAGAAAGTTACTTGATATGTTGCCTTCTTATTATCTAAAGCATCTTATGTTTGTTTATTTTTTTATGTAACTTTATTATCATATTTATATTTCTGTTAATATTATTAAATTTATTTGTAACGCGCACAGCCTACCTACATTATTGTCATCATTGCTTCTTCCAGTATAGGTTGCCTGGAAGAAATCACTGTTAAGCGATAAGGCCGCCTATTGTGCAAAAGTTTGAAATGTTTGTAAATTACTCTTTATTTATTTCTGTTGTGTGTTGTACAATAAAGTGTTTTTATCTTATCTTATCTTATCTTATTACATATGTTCTGAAATCATCATCATCATCATCATCACTTCAGCCAAGAGACGCCCACTGCTGGAAAAAAAAATAAAAAATATCTTAAACTTATTAACATAGGTACTGTAGGTAAATGACATATATTGTTTATTAATCTCTGAGTATTTTTGTGTACTTACTAATTTGCGCACAGAATACAAATTTTACCTGTAACAGTAACAATACCAATCAATGGAATATGGAAATATCAATATCGATCATACCTAGAAAAAGCATGCAGTAGGGATACTAGTGTTACACGTGTCTTTGACAGAAAGAAATAAATATACTGATTTCGTAATGAGAGAAAAGGACGACTTTCTAGAAGACATCAACGCGTGCTGCATTTTTATAGTTACCTTTAATTGTCCACTATAACTTGAACTCGGCGAGATAAAAAATACAAATAAAATTTATATTACTGGTGAAAACTTATACTCGTACCATCTTTCTTATAATTAGATGTACTGGATTTTTTTTCATACCATTTGACGCTGCAACTTGCTTGATTAACCTAATAAATACTGTATTATAGATGCTTGGCTATATCTTACACTCTCATGCGGCATCTATTGGAGGTTGTCTGTGGTTTTTGCCCATTGCACTGCTACAACAAAACTAGAGTTGCCAACCATACTTTATAATAACGTATCCTATTTTATTTTTGGTACCTATTCATAATTTATTCTTTCAAATACAAATAAAGTATGTGAAATTTACTATGATTAGTAAGTACTTACTTTTTATTTACTCTTAGGGGTAAATACTTACTTAACTATTTTAGGATATTTTTAAGTTCAAACAGACTAGGATGGAAACTTAATTGGGAACCAATATGTTAGTTACCTACATATTGGTTCCCTTTTATAAGTTTATGTGATAATTGTCCAATAATTATACAAGAAATACTAAAGCTAAAATTCGAAACTAAAGTTGAACAAAGAAAATATAACTACCTACTTGGGTTAAGAATAAAAAGTTAGATTACAAAAAATTAAAAAGTTATTTTTCCAAATATTCAAAACAGTTATCAGTAATTTTTCACTTTTTATTGATATGAACTTAATTTTTTCATCCAAATACTTTTTTCCCTATTCAAACAATCTTACATTATTTTTGCCAACAAAAGTTGGCAACCCTAAACACAACTGACACCACTTGTTTTCTATCCAATCCTATTCTGTCTTTTTTTTTCTTTGTTTCTTATTTGTAACCTATTGTTTTTTATGTTAGTGCAAATAAACAGTTATCTATCTATCTGCCGTCAGATAACCAGCGGCACTTGGGAGGGATCGACGGATGCGAGCGAGCAACGTCAGCGTGCGCGCAGGTGGCTTGGACACAAACATCACTCGGACTCCTCTCGCGATCTCCTCTCCAACAACCCGCGCGTCTCTTGTGTGTGCGGCGCATGCGCCAACTGTCCGCACTGCAGGCGAGATCATATATTCAGTCACTATATCATACATTAGAACCATTAATGAATATTGTTAAAAAAGCGAAAGGTCATGGCTTCGAGTCCCATCTTAGGGTGCAAGGGACAAAGTAGATTTAAAAAAAAATCATTAAGAATATTTTTCAGTATAGCATTATAGCATTTTGAATGCAAAATTGATCAAATATACATAAAACCATGTTTATAAAATGCATTGATGTACCTTCACTGACTTTCCTTTTTGAAAGATTTTTCACTTTAAGCTCGTCGTAACGGTTGCGTACGAGCAGTGCACGTTTGCTATTAGTTGTTCTACGATGGAGACCTTAAAATAACGCATTAAAGTCTACATTTCAAGTGTGTTTTCATCGATTTCATTTTTGTACAGACGATTTTGCTGACGTTACTTGTAAAAATGGTAGGTTTTACTGAGTGTTATGCATTATCACTATTTTACAAATCAAAATCAAATCAAATTTACTTATCGTAACCATTAACCTGATATCATTATTCGGACTATATTATCCCTTCTGTGATTTTATCATATTAACACGGTTTATTTAAATATTTGTAGAGGTCGCAGGCGGAGACATATATGTGCAATAAAACAAGACTCTGGCATTGCATGTTCTGAAGATTGTCCGGACTGCACCGACACGGAAAATACAGGTGAAATGAAGATATATTTTAATACATTTTGCAATATTTACTTATTAAAACTTGTAGTGGTTTGTGTTTTAATTAACGTTATTCATTGGTTACAGGGGTTTTGTATGAATCGTACGGATTAACGTGCCACCTGAGGGTTTATTCTATTTGTTCTTGAACAAAAATTTTATAATCTTGTTAAATTCATATCCGTGCATCAAAGGCAGTGTCAGGTCCTACCTTCGTTGCATCATCAATTATCGAAAAAAGAAAAACCCCTGACTTACATAAAATGCTTTACTGCATAAAATTTTGTAAGCGCAAAATGTTATTGTTTTTAATTTCCAGCCGTGTCAAGTATAAATGGTACTTTATACTAAAATCACATCTGTGACTTGTCGCCAGGCGATTATTGTAGATTTTTTTTTGCATTTTGAATGTAAAATTTATTTCTGAAGGAAGTAATCTCTAAGTGCCTAGTATCATGTTTATCTGTGGTTTCAGACAATTTTTTTTTTCTTGTAGGTTCCGATGGTTATCGAAAAACGGAAAGCGTCGAAATTGATGAGCAAATATACTACTGCAGGTTGGTTGTAATTATAATAATTATTTACTTGGTTTACAAATGATGTACTGATAAAACTTCGTTTTAAATATTGATTTTGCTTTCGTTAATTCGTGTATTTTACCTGTGAAGAAGAAGAAAATAATTCTTCAATATGTTTCACACATCTTTCATCATTTTCAGATGTCCGGAGCGCAAAGACAAACCAAAGAGTATGTCTCTGAGTCGGACAGAATCGGGTAATTAAAATCAAATATATCCAAAAATTTAATGTTTTATCCAAGTTTAGATAGTATATAGAGTATTTCCATAATATACATTTTTTTTTATATTAACCACTTTTTATCCAGATGCTTTCTGGTGTTTATATTTGATATCATTCATCAACGAAACGTCAGGATATAAAGTAATATAAGACCATTCATTTTACATACGACTTTATTTTAAATTTCCTAATTGAAACTATTATCTTTATAGCTTTGCGGCCACAAAATATAAATATACTATAAAAAACTGATCATAATATCCTTGTTTGCACAGACGATAGATCTGAACCGACTGGACCCGAACTGGTGAACTTCATCAAGGAGACACTGAATAAAAACGCCAGAGATAGAATGACTCTACTCAAGATAGAGAAAGAACTGCACGCATTAGTCAACGATACAGGGTAAGATACTAAATATTTTTTTTTTATTGAAAGTTTAAATCAAAACTTCCTGCTATAATTGTTAAGTTTTATGTATATAACTTCCAGTATCGTTGTGTTAATTATTTAAATCACTTACAAGTATTTTTTATTCAAGTTTTATAGTATATTAATGTATTGTCCTCTCCATACGGAAGAATGACGGTCCCAAATATGATCCTTGTGGAACTGCCGATGATGTAGCATCCCACATAATAAACTTGTTGACGACGTTAGAAAAACGTTCATTTCGTTTTTTTCTAATAACTATTATTTCGTTATATATGAGCATAACACTGATTCAATCCAGCGCAATAGCCATAGTAGACCGTGTTGTTTTATTCGTGCTCATAGCATACTGTGATGTAGTGAAAAAAATGTGATACGGATTATCTAACTTATGTGATCTCTTTTTTTATAACTTCTTTGAGTGAAATCGAAAAGCACTGCAAAAGTAACGGTTTGTTCATTGAAAGTCAACACTGATCATTTGCTTTTTGTATAGGCGGTGTATAGTGCGGTTTCCTGTGATGACGTCCTACGGTCGAATGCTGGTGCACCGGTGCGCGGCGCTGTTCCAGTTGTCGCACCACCTCGACCAGCACAACAAGACCTCCGTGCTGGTCTCCAAGAGCGGTGAGCGAACACATATTTCTTCTTCTCCACCAGCATTTAAATATACAGCACGCGTAGCAGGACAAATCCGAAAAGCGCTTTGTCTACACCAAATGTCTTCTCAGGTCGATAGTGATATGTGGTAGGGACGCACCAGAGAAAAGTGGAGGTACTTTGCCTTCGGTCTTCCTGGTTTCCTGCGGGATGTTCATGACCGTCATATTATCTTTTGACTCCAACGTCCGTCCAAGCATCTCATTAAATGGCCAGCCCTAAGAACTGAACGAACCCGAGCGACGTGCCTGAACTAAGAACTTTCTGTATGACTGGCAGAGATAAAACTTCTTTGATTAACTTATTATTAAACTATCTTAATGCAAACTAAAATGAACATGCATAGCTTATTTATTTATTTTATTTATTTATTTATATAAGGTTAACATAAATACTATATACTATACTCACTTTGAACACTCGAAATTAGGCATAAAGTATAGGATGATGATGACTAGATGTCATGTCATGATAAATTAATGGTGGTAAATAACACCCGATTATAATACGTTCAATTATAGTCCTATAATCACTCTTGATTGTTGGACTATAATTGAACGTATTATAATCGGGTGTTATCTTATATCGCTATACAAGACTTATAATATACAAGACTTATAATATATACAAGACTTGTAATTTGAATGTATTTAGTTGTTAACAATTGAGCAATCTACTTTAAAAATCCTCTAAAATATTTTTTGTAGAACATAAAACAAATTAATTTTTCTATGTCAACTTATAAAGTTTTTAGTGAGTTTTGAACAAAACTGATTGGCGAATTTAAAAAGTGAATGCAATTAGTATAGAGTTTTATAGTGTGGGACAACACGAGGATCCCTGCCTTATATATTCGTGTATATAACTTCTGTTTCAGACAAGACAACGTTAAAAGTTATTTGTTTTTATTTAATATTTATTATAATAATATCCTTTATCATCAGGTACTAGCGGCGGACGGATCCCGTGCACTAGTTTCAAACAATGGTGCACAACTACGTTCCCACCCAGCCCGCATAGGTAAAACAAATTACTACAATTTATATCAATAATTATTTAATGAAATAAATGTTAAAGGATAAATCGCTATTTCAGTGTTTCCCATTACCTGAAATCGCGTCCCGTTACCGGGCCATCAAAATAAACAACCGGCTCGAAACATTCCCGCCTTGTTAAAATAAATTAACTAACAAGGCATTCAATGCCCTTTGTCATAAACATGAACTGGGTTTTCAACACAGTTTACTTTAAAAATATAGAAACCGACATGAAGTGGAATCAGGTCTTAAGATAAAACTTTCGTTAATTTCTGGGACTTAGATTCTTTAGTAAAAAATAAGCAGCAGCTTTAAAATTTTGAAATAACAAAGTATGTAGTATTAATAAACATTGTTTTCTACTAAGAAATATGTATTATGTTACCTAGTGGAAACAGCTTATGTTTAAAAATGAAGTGCGTCACCAAGGGAATGTTTGGGAAACACTGCGTCTAATATCATCATAATTTCTCTTATCTCGATTATTTTGATTGACTCTGAGTATTTCTTCTCATTTTTTCTTACACATATCATCTTTAGCAAGTGTATCTATATTTTCTTTTGTGTCTCTCCATATCTTCCGTCATTAAAAACCTATTCTGTTATTCTGTCAAAAACCTTGAACATCGAAATCAAGCGCAGCGCTGTGACGTCGTGAAGTTTTAATAAAATAAAGCCTGTATTTGCTTTATTATTAGCTTTTCAAGTAGGTTTCATTTGATTGAATCATTATTCCAGGGATGGTGAACCAATGGTTTGAACCACAACATTTTGAGCTTGCCACTGATCACAAAATTCGTTATGCAGTAACGAATTTTGTGCAGTAAAATTATTTTGACATCACGTCAATGACCTTGTTAAGCCTTTCTTTAGAAAAATCGCACGTTGATACGTAAAGGTTCAACATCCCTGTTCTATGATGTAACAAGGGTCCGCTCGACTTCGATTTGGAGACTTAATAACAGAATAAACATCAGTAATTTAACGATTTCTGTTTCATTTCAGATCAATACTGAAAAGAGACACAAATTCGTTAGACGAGCCCGGCTCAGGAGCCTCTTCTAACTCCAGGAGCAAATCATTAGAGCAAAGGGAGAGGGAATACGAGCGAATGAAAAGGAGAATATTCACAGAGGTATCTTTTTCTGCATGTAAAAAGTGTATAACGTGCATGTTATTGCAAGTCGTACAAACTAATAGTGTTTATTCTAAAAGTAAATTATATTTTTAGGATAGTTCTCAAGACGAGTCCCAGTGGCCATGGTTGAATTCTGGACCGGTGAAACTGCTGACTCCAGAGAATAGCAGAAATAAACTCGTCAAGGTAACTTACCTATGTTTTATTTACTTTTTGTAAGATTAGGGTGGATATGATCAACAAGTTATATAAAACTGGCAAATATTGAATCTTAACATGTTGAAATTAAAGTTTAAAATTGTTCGGGAAAATAAAACATTTTGTTGTTAACATAATCTCCAACCGTATGTACAGTCAACAGCACGTCAAGTCGGACAAAACTTTTAAGTTTCTTCACATGTATTGATGTTGAAGTTGAAAATCAGTTGTGAAAATTTAACATACTATGGTAACCTGATGAGCTGATATGTATATAAAGCAAATAACTAGTTTCCTAAAATGAGACAATTTTGCAATAGATTTAGCGTTACTACATTAGCGTCAAAATCGATTTATTAAAATATAAAATATGTTTTGCAATAAACATGATTTACCTCGTTATTTTGTCTCGTTTCCCTTCCACTTTTATGCTCATTAATAACGTATGTATTATGTTGTTAAGGTTCAATCGTTAGAGAGTAGTGCAGCCCCCGGCAATACTCGGGGCGCGGTCTCCAAGAGTCACAGCTTCGGCGGATACGGCGGGCGAGACAATACTCATCCGCGACTACTCAGCAGACAAGGTCGGACCTTTAACCAAAATCACCAATAACACACGAGATAAAAGATGTAGTGTTATTGGAGTTCTATAAAGAAATAGCTTTTCTATGTGCACTCTCTATTTCATCATCATCATCAGCCCTTTTACGTCCCTACTGCAGGGGCTCAGGCCTTCCTTATGGATGGTTTAGGAGATTTTTTTTTTCATTTTTTCTTTTCTTCTGTGTAACTGTTTATAATGCAACATATTCTTTAATCCATTCTACTGATGCTTCTAAAAAAGTATATAAGTAAGTTAGTTTTTAAAGACAGACCTTTGAAATACATTTATGATGCCATTTAAAACTGTGTTTGAGATTTTTTTCAAAATTTTGTTGTTGAATGAAAAATGGACCAGGGACGAAGTGGTTTTTTAAGAATTTTTCATTAAGAATATTTTTCAGTATAGCACTGTGAATGCAAAATTGATCAAATATCACAATAGGAACAAATTCTCATCTTTTTATCGGAAGTTTAAATATTTTTAAAAATATTCCTTTGTGCTGTTTTGGTGTATTGCCTGAACATTGATGAGAATACGCTTTGTAGTAGCGAAATAGTAACAAGTGCTTGAAAGGTTCGTCAGTCCTGTTAGGTCCTGGGAAGCTCAGTGGTTAGAGCAGTCGCCAGGATTGCGAAAGGTTATGGGTTCGAATCCCATCTCAGGGTGCCAGGGACCAAGGGGATTTTTAAGCAATTTTCATTAAGAGTAAATGGAACTTGAGAGTCGCAACTTTATATCTAAGTAGCCGCAGATTACCGACAGCAGGCTTAATCTTGAACACAATCTCAATGTCATTTTCAATCCAATTCAATGACGATTTTAATTTTACCAAATATTAGCTCGTACTCTTGAAACATACTCAGTACTTACTTAATGTCAATTAGTTCATTCAATAACTACGCAATATTGGCGCTAGTGTACAGAAGGCCGCACGTCACGCTACACACTACCGCCGTAAGCAGACCTCTGTTAGTAGGAAAGTTATATACGAAGCGCGGTCGGTACAAAGTCCTCAAAGTCTTACGTGCGACCGTGTGTACCAAATCAAGAATACGAAACGTCACAATTGCAATGTCGATCAAGAGTTAGCATGTTGGTCAATGTTGATATGGATATATATACATTATCGCAGGTGATCTGGCGTCTAGCAGCTGGCGGCTATCCCCCTCTAGCTCGGGGTACAAGACCCTCAGCCTCAGGAGCACGGACTCTGTCACACCATCACCTACCGGTAACTACCTTAATAAAATATTTAGTTATAATCCTGTAAAATTGCTTTTTTCTATTCTCTAAATAACTAATATAATTATAACTTTAGGGTGTAAAGTATGCAAATAAGGAACGAAAATATAATTTTCTTTCATTAATCAACACATTATCGTAGTATAATAGATCACGGCACATTGACATCCATATTTTTTTTTTTTTTTTAATATGTCTTTGTTCCGTTTTACATGGAAATTTTGTAGAGAGTTAAGGTCAAAATATCAATGCTTGAAACATAAACAGGGAGGTTTTTTAATAGGGATTGAATAAATATAATCGTTTTAAATGTATTTAGTAATCATTTGTCAGTTTTCAATTATTGTTACCGTAACAATTAAATTTATTTTTAATTGTATTTTAAGGAATGTTAAGTTTTTATTTAGTAATGATTTATAATATTTATAGTTTAATAATAAATAACAACATTTAAAAACACAAACGGTCGATTTTTTTATCTATCAAACAACTTTATTATGAGTGCATTTGCCTTGTATGCAGTACGATTTAGAAAATAGACTGTATAATAAACTCTCAAGTAATTTAATTTGTGTAAAGAATTAATTTTGCTGATTCTGATTCATCTTGCTGTTGAATTACGAGTAATATTTTCATTAAAGCCTGTTTCTTACATTGAACTCATAATCGATTATTTCTATTATTTATAACTCATAATCGATTAACTCTATAACATCGAATTATCGTATAAAGATTTTTTCATTACCGCATCACTATAAGCATCCATGCTTTTTAAAAAAGACTATTGCCTACCGATCCTATTCTCATTTGGCACGCATAGTATGTGGTAAGTGTTTTTGTGTTCAGGCGGTGGCAGCCCTGAACCGTGCGCCGTGTCCGGCGGCGTGGTGTGCGCCGTTACGGATATCACGTCGGTACCGTACGGCGCACTCGTCATCAACCCACAGGTATATATTCTAGAGAACTGTTTAACGGAATAAATAAATTTTATCACGATCATTATTGCTTAAGAATAAGTCCGCATTTTTTTGCAAAAAGTGCAAAAAAATGCGAAAGTTCATAATATTCAAACGCAGAACGCAATGCAAACAAGTAGAGAGGATGTGACGAAAATATACACGTATAATATAATAATTTTTTTTTTCCACAAATGTTCTTAAAAATTTCATCAACAAGTGCCAAAGTAAAGTCATGTGGAAGACTGGAGCCAGAAACTAAGCCTAAAATAAGGCTTGATGTTTTCAAATCACCAGGCTTCTCCTCCGATATTGCAATTATTCTAATTCGCACTTTATTTAAATTGAAATTAACAAGATAATCATGATTGTCATGCAGCTCAAACAATATTTTAATACGTTTATATTTGAAATCATAGGTAGAATACATATTCTAGATACATACATATATATGTATATAAATATATTATGTTTTATTTTAGTTAAAAGAAAACTGTAGTATATTTATTTTATATTTTATATATTTTAAAAATCAAAATATGTATGCAGTAATTTATAATAAGCATATACCTATCAATGAATACATACTAAATACATAAAAATGTATCTGATACTCGTTCATTAAATATCAGACAGCATCACCCACACACGTTGCTTAGATCTTACTGAGGTAGCTAAAGTATTCGTTTTATGGAATTTAGACACGAGACAAATATCCAGACAATGGCATAACCCTGAAACCAGCGTGCCACTCAGTCGGCTGCAAACTCGTCAAACTTCACTTTATACTTTATTTCAAAAGATTTTCAGTTTCCTCGTATGTTAATGCATTTTAACAGGAAGCAATAGTCTTTTTAGAATTTATGTTATTTTTGGAACTAATATGTAATATTTTATTAATTTTATTATATAGACGTCCACCTTGGTAACAAAAGAATCCTTTAATAAATTTGGTGTTAAATCGTAAAGGGATATCGTTTCCTTCGCATTAGCAATTTACGGCACTAATACAGTAAATCGCTATCACTAAGTCCGTTTCCTCTCTCGTCATTGTGAATACTAGAGTAGAAATATTTCTTTGCTTCTGTTAGTTCGAAAACACTTTACGCAATATTAGAATGTAACTTGCAACGCACAAAGAATTCCAAAAGATGTAAATTACTACTATGTAAACCAACTATGCTCACTACTACTTTAATCCCTGTTCTTCTTCTTCTTCTTAACTTTAATGGCACTTAGTGTCACCACATTACTGCCAACTAATCCCCGTTCACTACACTGTGAATAACTTTGACATTTGTAAAAAACTGTTTACTACATGTGCTGCAATCTGGCGACATAAAATTAAAGTAATACGTCTAATTGACATTTTACGAGGTGTCGGTTTTAATTTCAAATAACATCACGTTCCAAAAGATTCTTATAGCGCTATAATTCTCCGTGTATCGTGTTTCTACTTTCAAACGTTAAAGTATGTTCTGAATGGTCTGTCAGCTTGATTGATCATTGAGACACTCGTTTTGACAGATTAATCAGGAATTTAACTACTCGGTCGCATCGCAGCATTGTAGAAAATAAACGCTAGTTATAAAATTGTTTGCCGACTTTAGACGGGACGTCCTCTCACCAATCCGGATGGCAGCCTGTATCACTTCGATCCCGCCAACCCGCCTATAATGTACGATCCCGCGCACTATCCCGACGAGAAGGTAATGAATCTTAAAATACCATTTATCCTACAATTTAATAGTACTATCAATAGACTATATGAAATGTTAACATATAAAATCGTTTCAAAACAAAATATTATAATTTTCTGAAGATCGTTTTACGTGAACAGCATTACTATTCTACACAGCTGTGTGATTATTATCAGGATGTTCTAAATTTTTACAGAAAGATCAAAATATGGAGACAAAACGTGGCAAATTAGAAAAACAACATTCATTTATCGATAACGGTAAGTGTTTTAATTTGATAGATTTTTGGAACTCGATGACGTCATGTTGATATGTAGACATAACAGGTGCACATAAGTATATTATATTCTTTATTGGCAACTAATATTAGTTCAAATGACTGAATTGCGCCGTCTAATAATATCGTCACCATCACCAGCCTATCATATAAAGAGGACGGTCTATTAGCTCACCACACAGGCCCAGTGCGTCAATGATAATCAAAATAACCAGGGCGTAGCCTTATTTTACCCAATAATACATAATTGCTGCATATTTAGATTTACAAAGTAAGAAAATCATTCAATTTATAAGACAAAACGTTTGAAGAAGCTTGTTTGTTTGTTTACAACATATGCTAGTACTGCCATCTATGCCGAGTTTTACTTAATTTACCCTATTGATTAGAAATACAAGTGAGCTAAAAATTTTTTTTAGTTTTCTGGGTCACGCATCCGATGAACGACCTTTGTTAATATTGCTTTACCAAACGCTAACGTACTTAATTCGTGATGAAACCTCACGGCAGTGTATTTTTTGTAGAATGCGAATGTCAACCTGCAGACGAATCGCGCAACAAGACATGTTGCTGTTCTTGTCGCCGACATGACGCATGTCGCAAGAATACAGACAAGGTAAGCTTACTTAATGCAAATATACTACCAATTGCTTCGAGTTGTCCACTCTGACCCCTCCCGCCTTCCCCGAAAAACCCATTTTTTTTTATTTTAGTTTGGACAGTGATACAACAAAATTGGCACCAACAATATAGGAAAGGAAGGAAATAAATATCCATTAGTTGACTATTATATATTCGCCGAATTTCTGCCCATTATTGACCGGAAACGAAACTTCAAAATGGACCATGGTCTATTTTACCGATTAATCGCGAGTTGTACTACGAGTATAAACCTTAAAGTGACTCAATAAAGTCCACATTTAAACGATGTCGGTGATCGTGTTTCATCGGCTTTAGCTTTATCTATTCTGCGCAGACCGATTTTGTTGTTGCTGCAGATTATATATTATGCTAGTTATAAAGTACTTATTTTAATTTCTGGTTTGTTGTTATTAAACGCTATTTAACTTATTTTCTTGTACCCAGAATACAACAGAACAATCTCATATTCCACCGAGCCCCAGCAAGAATCGCTACGAACATACAAACATACAGACAGATACTAATAATATTAGTTATAACGACGAGACCAATGAGTTAAAGCAAACAACAGATGAAATTCAATATAACCACAACTCAAAAACGCATTCCGAGAACTACGAAAACAACTACGATAGATTCGAAACGAATCTGAGGCAAGATTACGAGCAGCCGACCAATCAGAGGCCAGTTTATGAACAACCGACCAATCAGAGCCAGGATAATCAGAAAGTGGGAAAGTTGATAAGTCAGGACAATCAAGATTTATATAATAAGCATGCGTATGGACATGCGAAAACTGACGAGGTTTGTAATGTTCGTTTTAATGACTTACATGAATTATAGGTTGCGCAGATATCCATCAATTTTTAGGTTATCTTCTATCTAAAAACCTATAATCTGCATAAAAATCCTAAGATCATAGACATTCAGACTTTCGATCAAGGTGAAAAGTATATTATTATATTTAAAATAATTTATTTGTTGTTTATTACGGCAGGTGGCGTCACCGCCGATTACATCACAACACAGCATCCACAACTACCCGCAACAAGAGACGAGTGTCCATTCTATGGCGCAAGCCAAAGCCACCCCTGTACCTATGCCGGATCCACATACACGTGAGTGTTGCTATCACTTAACATCTAATTTATACTTTAAAAGTTCAATGAACAGTAGTTTTTTTGACAACATTCACGCGAGAAACATAGAGTAAAGCATACAATAAGATCATCTTCGTATAAAAAAAATAATAACTAGAACAAAATGAAAAATCTGAATATACAAAAATTTTTTGTACCTCTTTTGGAATATTACTTCTTTTTAGCGGCTTACAATGTTGATTATCACAGATTAGCTATTTTTCCGCTAAATCTGAGTTAATTTTAGCCTATGTCGCCCACGTATTTTGTAGCTTCTCGTGTAGGTAAAAGATTTTTTAAAATAGATTCAGTAATTTCTGAGCCTGTTCAATACAAAGAATCAAATTTCTCCTTTTTATATTATTACTAGCGGTTTTCCCGCGACTTTACATCCCTACATTGTAGACTACGTCAACCCCAGTATGATTTAGCTACCCGTGGGTGAAAGAATTTTTAGAATCGGCAGTTTCGAAGCATTAAATGCAAACAAACTTACAAACGAAACAATCAAATCTTTCCTCTTTATAATATTAGTATAGATAGTTTAGAAATAATGATGCATTTGATTTATATATTATTTTGTACCTCGGTGGTTACGATGCCATTACTTAGAAGGGTTTATGTATAGTCTACATCACGTCAAGTTACTTAAAATTATCAAATTTCTAGAATGCAATTTTGATCTTTAATGTGTTGTTAGTAACGTTCAAATTTAATTGCCGAAATTTGAGGCTTTAGTTGTTACTTGGTGTACTGCTGTATGTATACACATTTAATTATTTATGAAATTATGTTATTGTTTCAGGTCCACTGTCACTCACGAATATGTCTTATCCTACTATACAACAAAGCTATCCTTACATCAACCAATTTAGAGTGGTAAGTTATCTATTTATCTTAACTTCTAGCTTTCCGCCAGCTTCGTCCGCGTTTCCTAGGTATTACTTATGGAACCGTTTAATGGGATGAAATAATAAGTTATTTAGCCCGTAGTATATTTACACCCAGTTTCAGAAACGTCCATTAATATTGACATTAGTGTAAAGCGTTATTCCAATTCCAATTTAGAATATTCATTAGAGCTTAAAGTCTTCATTAAATGGACGTTGGTGCAACTGAGTGTTTGTCCTTTAATATGTTGTCCTGTCTATATCAAATACGAATATATTCTAACTTAAACTTCACTCTTTGATCGTAGGAACAACCGTTACAGCCGGTATACCACCCCCATAGTATGTTACATACTACAGAAGAACACAAGGTCAACACCACAACTCAACAAGAGCCCACTTTCAGGATAGGTAAGTTATTCTCACTATGACAAAATATGCAACACGCTATCTTCCCGCTCTAGCAAGTGACGGTACTGAGCGACAGAAAAGGAAAGAGCATTGGCGAAATGCGATACCGTTCTGCCAGATGTAGTTTTAACCTTTACGCACCAATAACCTTCGTTAAATCGTTAAAAGTCACAAGTTTTCACAGTGCATGTTTTATTTTGTCGCACCACTACATTAAACAAACGTATCATAACAATGAATCAAAACATTTACTTGTGAAATAATTTAAATTAATATTTTATTATAATATAATATTATGTTATATTATTTGAAGTTTTTTCCGTTTGTTTCAGATCCAAGTTATCCGTATGCGGCGGTTGATTTCGCCTCCCAGTGCGGCGCTTGCGTCGATCCAAACACTATGAGAAGGTAGCTGTGATTACAAATTATATCGCTGTATAAATAGAAATGTGTAGACTATATTTATATGAGTATTTTTAAAGTCTTAAAGCTGTTAAAACAGTCGGTAATTTAGGTATTTATTATACAAATTGTTGCGTTAAGTTTTATACCATTTAAACGATATTTCAACTTTTGTACTCTATAAAACAGAAATATTTATAATAAAATTTTGATTTGAATTTGATCATTTTGCATTTTCAATCTTAGCGTTACTGATAAATATCCCAACCATATCGGGGTACTTAGGACAGGAGAATTTGTTAAAAACATTTTTTCAATGAGAAACCAAACTTATATTTCAACTTAATGTATCGGCAAAAATCACACGTCAGAAATTACGCATTTTACAATAACAAAATTATAGAATGTTTAATGATTTAATTCTCATAAAGACATCACTTATATAATTCAATCCACTTAAATATATGTTAGTACAATTGCATCATATGTACGTAAAATTAATATATATGTATCTCCCTCTAGCTACAGTTTACCATACGGACAAGTGGAAGTACCTCAAGCTGTGTTACCAACATACCCAGTCAACAATGTTATGTTGCCGCAACATCATATACAACACTATCCGGTTAGTTGCACTCTTATGACCTTAGAAATTGGGTTCAAAATAAAATCAAACTGGCACATAATTATTCTTTATATGACTCTAAACTTTATTTATGTAATCATACAGCAATAATAATCAATAAAGACAAGGTTAAGGTTACGATTGTTATTTTTATTTATTGTTATCTGTTAAACGGTAAATTATTAAATTGATCATACTATTCAAATACTCATTTAATTATTGAAAAATTGTCATAATCACCCAAACGCGAAATAAAAACATCTATATCATATTTTTTTTTTCCTTACAGTATCAGGATGCAGTCCAATGGCAGGCGCCTCCTATGATGCCGATGCAACCGAAACTGGTTGTACCCGAGTTGTACCCCGTGTACCCTAACATGTACCAGTACAATGTATTGTACCCTCAGGTATGTAACTTTAGATTACTAACATTTAAAGTCTTTATAGCTTAGACATGAATTTTATGGGCAATAATAGGGTAGTTTCGGTAGTGAAAAATAAGTTACGAAATTGCAGGAAAACTAAAATTTACATCATAATAAACATAGACATTCTGATTTTGAGTCTCGCACGATTATCTTAGTATATTAAAATTTAAAGTCATGATGTTTGTATATGTGTCACGTGACTTGAAACACGACCCGCCATTGTGTGACGCCACTCTGGAGACAGCTATCAGATTAGTCTTAATATATGTTTATTAATTATAAATCGAATTCCTAGATGGCGCTGTTCTTGTTTTATTAAAATATTTTAATCTACTACTCAATGCATCTGTTTTGAGCATAGAGTTAAGGTTTTGTTTCATATCACAATGACGTCATGAATATGACGGACTAGAGTGTTTTCGAGGGTATAAAAGAGTTCAAATTTTGACATAATTTTAACGCAATGAAATGTGTTTATTTTTTCGAAATATTTGTTTTATGACTTTTTTAGTTTAAAATAAACAGTTACAAGTATTATTTCAAACAGAGTAGAATACCCTATAACATCTATTTTCCAGAAGCGCGAAAGTTTTAAAAAGACATGAAAAAATGTTAGAAATAAGTCTCGAAAGTAGAGAATTGTACTACTAGTGTGAACCTTAACGTGACGCAAGAAAGTCAATATTATTTACATCTGTATCGTCATACCAATATAGAAAATTAATTTGAGTGATTTTAACAATATATTAACTAAGTATTATATTAACCGAACTTTGCTGTCAAGAATGAAGGTAAAACTGACGTTTTAGATTTTGGTCCAATATTGTTTGTTAACGCATATTGACATTGATGACTTAACAAACAATATTAATGCATTTTTTCAGTTTAGTCAAGATTGTAGATAGAAACAACGAATAAAGCTTTTATTTACGGATATTGTCATATATCTACAATATAAACGGCATGTCGGTTTGCATGTATGATTAAGGGGCATTAAATGAACTAACCAATCTGATATACGATGTGTATCATAATACAATATCTCAACATTGTTTAAGGTTATACCACAGCCTTTTCCGATGTGTCAACCGATGTATAGTGTTGTTGAAAAACCTCCGTCGAGGAGCAACAGTGTCGCGAGCGCTAACGCGAGCGTGCACGCGAATATGCACGCGAACACGCCCACAAACATGTATGCCACCGCGCACGCTGAACACAATGCAGACAACCGCGCCGCCTCCACGCATAGCAACGATAATAGCGTATGTATACATTCTATCTATATCATATGCATAAATTATACATAATATGATACTAGTACAGATACACGAATTTTAAAGAACATGAAAGTTAAAATTTTTAAACATATCTTTCGACTGTTTAAATGAATTGTCTGAAATTTGATGATAATACTCTCATTAGTAGCGGAAGTACAACTAGGTCTCGGGAAGTTAAATTGCTACTTTCAAATTTTACACGACTTCCCAAAAAAGGAGTATATTGTGTTTAGGATCAATGTATAGTTTTTGACACCGAGATGAGTCCATTCCAAAAATAAGCACTTTGAAAACATTTCCTAGTCAATAATTTAAAAATTAAAAATACGACGTCCATAATTGAACTAAAAATAATTAAAAAAAAAAAGTTGTATTATGGCTACAACTTTTTATGGCTACCAAAAATAAGCACTTTGAAAACATTTCCTGGTAAATAATTTAAAAATTAAAAATATGACGTCCATAATTGAACTAAAAATAATTAAAAAAAAAGTTGTATTATGGCTTGGCTAAAAAATCTCTTCTCAATTATTTTTTTTTTTTTTCATTATTTCATCACTTCAACGTTAATAACTCTATACACATCTTATATTTAATAAGTAGGTACTTCCGGCTGATGATGATGATGATGATGATGATGTACTTCACATAAAACATAGACATGTGAATGTAACGAATGTACAACAAAAAATGTTTGTTTATGATGTCAGCTAAAAAGTCCTACTAGGTTGATGGTATTTTATATGTAATCCTGTATACACAGATGACGGCCAGAAGAAATTCCAACGAAATAGCGGCTAAAATACAACAGATCAAAGATCAAATGGCCCAATTAAACACGAGGGAAAGGGACAGAAGCAAACGCAACGAAGATTGGAAGAGACGGAACAACGGTAACGGTATACTGGGCAGTTATCCAGCCAATACTGTGAACGGCAGAGTTGATAGGCTGCAAGGGTAAGTCAATACTATATCTAACAATATCAATTAACTATCTATTGAAAAGAAAAGTAACGTGGAAAATAGTTCTTGGAATCGAAATAGATGTCGCTACATACTGTATTATATATAGTGGTATACACTCTCACAAAATCAAAATTGCACAGTGTTGGGTTAAATCAAATGCTCTCAATGTACAATACTGTATTGTTAGATACGCCGTTAAAGTTCATTACATAGGGTTGAATCAAAAGCACTTAACATTCAATACTGTTTTGTTAGACACAGTGTGTACATTCAATACATTGGATTGAATCAAATGTATCAAAAATATGATAATTTTTTCTTTGTAGACAATCATCAAATGATGAGACGCAACTAAGTTCTGCTGCGCGTGCAATAGTCAACTCTATACGAAACATGCAAGCGCACAACAACTGTGAGTTATTGTTAAGCTATCATCATCAGCATATTAAAGTACTCACTGCTGGGTCACGACATAAAATGGGCAGAATGGGCATTGGTGTTAACGACTGCAGACGTATCCAGGACCTTCCGGAGCAGCTCGAGATTATAAATTTTTGGTCACCTATCCTATAACCGGCCCTTATGAAAGTTGCTTAACACTCTGAACCCTTAAACTCCCATATAATGAGCATAAATAATATTCTATTCTAGTGGTAACAACTTACGAAATATCGACAACTGTAATTGCATAGATTCTTTGGAATATTAATGACCTCGTTTAGTTACTTTTTTCAAAATTCGATTACTATTTATATTTTTAATACTTCTAAATTCACTAATTGAATGAATATTTTTACCAAAATTGTGAATGCAGTTCATAATTATCTTAAAAGTTATGGATGGTCTTTTAGAAACGTTATCATGTAACAATAAATTAATCATTTTAAGATCAAGACAGACGCGAGTGTCAATACCGCGCTGACCGACCTGAATACCGTAGGCGAGACAGGGACGGTGAGAGATTAGAACGGGACAACAAACCCACCGGTGACCGAAACCGGAATTTCCAGTTGCAATACCGCCCGCCATACTTACTTAGACAAGTAAGTACACAAATTGTGGAAATTGGAGCAAAGAAATAAATAATCTATTGTGCTAATAGTTATTTCTTCCCTTTTTCTACAGTTAGAGATTAGAAATTCATATAATTTTTATGGATACTGATTTAGTACGTGGTACATATTTTCATTTGCACAAGCCGAAAATCATTATCAAAACTTAAAGTTGTAATGATTTGACAGATTTCAAGTCCTGAATAGTTATGGCCACTAAGGGCGCTGTCGTCATACCATTCTATAGATAGATAGATAAAAAATCGAGGCAAAGTTTCTGCAAGAAATAAAGCGGAAGACCTGCAGGAACGAGAATACAACAATAATTTATAGTCTTAAATTTAGTTTTATCTTTTTCAGATGTCACCGAGCACTTGGTGTAGACGATCACCGGGTCCAGTTCATCCGGGTTAGTCTGAGTAATAATAAAAATTATAAACCCAACAAAATAAAAAGTTAGCAAATAATTGAAAAATAACACGATTGAATCGGAGGTCCTGCGATTTTTATGAAAGCCGCCAAAAATTACTAGCAAAATATGAGTTACATTAAACCGAACCAGGCTTTGCGACGATGTTTATTCATTCGCATTAATTATTGTGAATGAATGACTCGATTTTTTCTATATTTAGTCATAGAAAAAGAAATGACAGACATAGATTCTTTGTATTATTTGTTTAGTTTAATATGTTTATATAAGTTTCGTATTTATAGTTTATGATAAAACTAAATGCCTGTCTTAAAGCACATTTTCTATTTACAGTTTTGAATCATCCACGCCGGCCAAACCCTGACACCAGGAACGGTAGACGTTAAAACGCACAACGTATGACAAATAACTAGATATATAGATGCAACACGACGGTTGTTTATACTGCGTTTGTTGATAATACATAAATAATACGTATATTTTCACAGTTTCTGGATACGATTGATTGGACACCATAGAAAATTTATATGACTTTTTCAGAAACACATAGCCAATATACAAAATATAATCATGTAGGGTGATTATATTTTGACATCCATGCGCTCTACTTATTTAAAATTGAAACTTAAGATTGGTTATTAAAGTGCAAATATTTTTTTATTTAAAAAGATTTCGATTTTTTGTATAATTTAAGAACTACTAATTTTTACTTTCGTGATCACGTGATTAACGGTTTGTAACCGGTTTAAAAGTTATTTAATAAAGCAAATTTACTGACTCATTATAAACCTTATTATGAAAGCAGAAAGTTTTGAGAATTAAAATATTTTTTTCCGTATACAGACACATAAGGTACATAATATTTGTATGTTGTTAAAGAAAATTACGTTACGTTATGTATAATAAATTAAAGTTGCAATACGATATGTAAATAAACTTGATTTGTATGAAAAGGAAAATATTTACTTAATCTTTACATGAATACTTACAATCCTTATTCTCTTTGTAATAACAATCACAAAATGTACAATCTGGAAATAACGCAAACACCGATATTAACGCCATCTATCGTTGACACCTAGGACCAAATAACGCCATCTACCGACGTGGTTATAAAACATTTTGACTTTTTTACTTTCATTGTGCTAAATAGCATAAAGAGTCGTAGGGAGCCGCTTCGCGCCGAGATCTCACTCTGAACTCGAAACTAGTCATTTTTTTAATAAATAAAGTGCAACCTATAAGGTAGTAGTGATATCTTCTATTTTACTATAAATAATTTAGATTGTGCGCTAGTGTCGCCTCCCCGCGCCTTAAAACGGATGTGAAGTCGAAGTGTCTTTTTAAATATTATTTAAAAAATAATAGTCAATGTTTTAAGTTAGTTTTCGTTTAGTTTTATAAGCTAAGTTAAATGTGTATTCGGAAAGAAAACTTAAACATAACATTTAAATGACATTAATAAAAAAAAAATTAATAACAATAATTTTCCCTTTCGTAGTAACCTGATATACGGATGTGTGCACAAGTTATATGAAAACTATTTCGACTCTGCTACTAGTGTAATAGATGTCTTAAGATTTTTGAATAGACATCACTAGGAGATGTTACAATATCGGGTTTTTTTATCAAATAAAAATGTTTTTCTTGATGATATATTACAAATGTATATATTTTCGAGTGCTTTGTCTCTTTCATTCGCTTGTCAAATGAAAGAGAGAAACTATGTAGTCAATAACCGACCAGTTGTAACAACTCCAAAGTGACATCTCTTCCGAAGTACTATTAAGAATCACTGGTAATTATTACATATTTAACTTAGCTATTAGTTTATATTAATCTTAAGTTGTACGTTACTGTAAGTTTATACATTTATTATACTATTTTGTTTCTATAATTTTCAACTCTATTCCCTTTTAATAAGACAATTGTATAGGTTACAATGTGTGAATGTATTACGTGACTCGAACTGTGGATTAGATTATTTAGACATTGTGATAATTTGTTAGTTACCGAAACGTCGATAAGAACATATCCGTGTCCTACATATTATTGAATTATATAGAAACTCATTTCTCATTCTTTAGCAGGAGCATGAGAATAAAACAAACAGACAATTGGAACTGCTGTGTATAAACTGTTTGCTTGTATATTGACCTAAATGATTCTAAAGAGATCCGAGATTTACTATCTTAGGCCATATATTACGTACTATCAGATTACTACACAACCCATAATAGGAAAAAATATAAAAAAACAAAAAAAAAAACAGGATAAAATATTATCTTGCCTAAAAAGAGACGAGAGTTATTATTAATTTTAATCAAAAATAATAACTAGATTAACAGTTTATTTCAATATGATAAATCCGTGTAATCGCTTTTAAACATTAATCGGTTCAAATTGGGGTCGAAATCCAAGTCGTGTCTCGTTGAAGAATTTTCAAAGCTAACGGTGACAACGAGTGGGACTATTGAGAATGTCAGCGATGTCCGCTTTTGCTCTGCTCCCGCTAGATGGCGCTACTAAGATTGGGGGTTAAGGTCAAACACGTCTATTGTACACACGGCTGCACGCCAGTCTATACGGGTTATTCCACTAATCCCCAACCAAGGGTTGCCAAGCTTATTTCGTCTATTGCCCACTTTCATAAAAAAATATTAAACCAGCCAACCAAAAAAATAATTAAATTACTTGTTGTGGTCTATATTAGAGGAAATTAATTTCTTAATGACATTCATAATAAGTTTCTATAATTGGCGTCAATGCTGCATACTTATTTTTGTATAGAAATAACAAAACTGCTGTTGAAACTTTGTTGAATGAATAAATAAATAAATAAATAAATTCATTATAAACGAGACTTACTATAACCCGTAAAAATTAACTTGAGTCCTAAGAGACCTTGAACTTTTCCTAAGCTACACGTTTTTTTTTTCCTGTCTTACTTCATTTTTTTTCTGTTTTACCGCCCCCTATAGGCCTACAGCGCCCACAAACGGGCGTTATCGCCCCCTTTAGAAAAAGCTGGTCTATTTGTTATGAACTTTGTACCGACCGCGCTACGTATAGAACTTCCCTACTAACAGAGGTCTGCTTACGGCGGTAGTGTGTAGCGTGAGGTACAACCATGCGTACAAATATATGCCGAAAATTTTCATTAGAAAATATATGGTTTTGGACCGTCAAATTAATTGAGAAATATATCTGTAAAAGTAAATGAATTAAAGATAGATTTAACAGAACCTTAAATGTCAGTAGTGCTAGTCTGTTCTAAAAACGGAATTACGCCTGCAGCAGAGCTGTAAGTCAACATTAAGGTTAAATCAAATAAATCCTACTTGGAGAAGTAAAACGGTTTTATTTGAAACTCTTATGACGTGACAGCCATGCGTTCGACGACGAGTTGGATGCTATTTTTAAAAGTCAAGTTCAATTTATCTAGGCGTCACTTTACTTTCACAAGTAAAATTATTTCAAGAAAGGCATTATCCAAAGACAGCTTATGATCGTTGATATAACTAGCGCCTAAGTTTAGTTTTTCAAATTAATCTCCACTGGAGCGGATCATTATCAATTATTCACATCACGATATACAAGCATCGGCTCTTGACATCCCCATATACTCTTTAGGATATAAAGCCTCATTCACACCATAAAATTCAAACAATAATCCTTGCAGTCGATAATATGTCATGTTCCTGCTAAAAACCAGAATTTTCCAATATTTTTGAAACCTTAATAAGTTGACGGTAAGGTTCGAAATAGGTTGCAGATTTAACCTTATGTGGTTAGTCATGATGCGTTGTTGTGTGTGATTTTCAAGTAATGAATGGTGGATCACTGTGATGGAATGTATAGCCTTAACCACTACTAAATATACCGATATCGCTGGTTGTGTAGAAACAAAAATATAATTTCCAATTATTTAAACCTATATAAGTACCTACCTTATGTTTAAAAATTTTGTTTGTATACCTTTTGTTAGTTATAAGTTCCCTTCGGAACGTGTCTGTTTGTATTTACAATAAAAATATATATTTACATTGTAATGACGACAAAAAACTGGTAACTATACGCCAACTGACGTAAGGTTTACAGATTTGTAATTATAGCTCATGAGATTAGAGATTCAATGCTGTGTGTAAATAAAGTCGAATTTAAATCGTGTATCCGGGAACCCAGTGTTGTTCAATATTAAAAGATAAAAATAATAATAGAACGATATAAAAATTTTATCTCAACGTTTAAATAACTCATGCGTACATATCTCGACGTTAATTATAAAATAGATGTTTTAAAAAAATATAATATAAAATAAGTACACGTTTTTTTTTATTGTTCAGGAAAATAATTATTGGTGTTAGTCTCCCCGCCGTATAGTACAGTTAACAGCACGTCAGGCTATAAAAATTTGTCAAAGTTCTCCACTTGATTTTAAAACTTAATGCCTCTAGTGTAGAGTTTAAAATCAACTGTGGAAAATTGACATATTAAGGTACCTGACGCGCAGCCGTGTGTACATAAATATGAATTAGCTCTGTGTTTTAAAATAAATTTTTAGAATGTAATCGTTCATAGAATAAGAACTATCTCTGGTGACTTCCTAACACTGATATAATTTGAAATATATTTATTTCCCGTCCCTTGAAATAAATAAATAGTTACACTCTACTAAAATATCTAATGAATAAGGACTTATCACCTCTGCACAGTGCAGACACTTCAAATTAAATTAATACTGATGAAAATATCCAACTTACAGATGATTAAATTCATACAATAATAATAATACTGCCATCTAGCGTATTCAGCAAAGAAAAATATTTTCACATTTTGATAAATAGGAACAAAATAAAGACAAAATAATAATCGAATACTGCAACCGAAATCATTTTAAATGTTTTCCGTCTCTGTCACTTGTTTGTGCTCTGTCTCTTTCCGATTGATTTGCCGTTATGTCAGTTGTCGCATAGTTTCGTTTTAATACCAAATATGAACGGCGGAATCGATCTGCCTACACGGATGTGACCCGTAGAATGGTATAATTTATATGAACGTTTATTTTAACATGTAGAGTATATCGTTGTTAATATTAAAGATTTTAGCCTATACATTTGTGTGTTTTATTTAAATTTTACATATAACCTTAAGCCTTAAACCAGGGCTCTCCAACCCCGCACCCGTCCTGAAAAGGACAGACTTCAGCGAGGCTGGCTCGTTTCACATACACTAGGTATTCGATAAAATATAATTGAATGGATTATAAATAATCCATACTCCTACAAGTATTTATTACTACCAATATAAGTACACAGATTACGATACAATCTTAATTAGATACACGAATTCATAGGAAATTATCTCCGTCGTACCTGTAGATAAGTAAGTTTAACAAACACATTTCGGAAACTAATTCGTAGTGGTATTTTGCTATCTTGATTTTGCACTATATGGTGGCAGACAGCTCTTTTGAGTCAGATGGCACCATGATAGCGCTGACTACTCTTAGCAAGCAATCACGCACGAAAAACCTAAATAAATGTGGAGAAGAACAACATCAAAGAGCTATGATGACAAATCAAATCAAATCATTTATTTGCAAATACAGGTGATACATAGAGATATACACAATTAATGTCAAACTTATTCCGCATTTCACCACTTGGCGTGCAAATATTATCTAGCTGTTACAAATGCCTAAACTAAATAAGCTAAAATAAGGAATAAGGGGTTTCTGGCTGACGCCAGTCCAGAATGCGTAACATGACAAATTCGAGACTTTATCTACACCAAATGGCACTTTTCTCGGCTCGAGAATGACATTGTAAAGCGAGGAATTCACTAGACGGGCGTGCAGATATGCGTGCCAGACCTCTTTTAGTATAGGGCCAGACATGCCCTGGCTAGTGTAGAACCGTCGCAGTCATTACACAGATCTATAGTAACGAGGTCTGGCAGGTATCTGCAGATGCATGCCCGTCTAGTGAATTCCCCGCTTATGGGGGACCCGCGAATAGTGTAATTAGGGTGTAGACTAAACGTTCTCGAGTTCCTCATGCTACGTTCCTCGTTATGGGTCTGTGTAATGAAGGGAATGACACCGAACTCTAAAATTATAAATAAGTTACCACAATTCATTTTATAGCCTTCATATTCTTTTAATATTTAAGTATGGGATAACTTTTTTTTATCTACGGTTTTAGGTTTGAATGCTTACTACATCGACAAATACCCACCGTACATGCCGTATTATGCATGAAATAGTACTATACTCCATTCATTATAGCATTAGACAGAAGTTAAATAAGGTTCTTTTTATGGTATACTTTGTGACAAAATATCAATAATCATGTTACTTTTAAGACTGACGGCTAATTTGCTACATATCCACTTAAATACCAGCTGCTATACTTAACTGTAGTCATTTAAGCTACCTATTAAACAAATTTATGAGTAT